CTCTCCTCTCGCAAGAAGAGACATTTGGTGCAGACCATTACCCCAGTCCCGGGTGCCATCGGCCATCAGCAGCGCGTTAAAGCCGCTGCAATTACAAACTCCGACAGTCTCATCCCCTTTATTCCATCCCGCGCTCCTTCGTCCTCTTCTCGTCGCCCTCCCTCCCTCCCCTCCCTCCTTTCTCGTTCCACATCGCCTCTGCGTTCCTTCCACTCTTTCTCTCATTTTCCCTTTTCGGTCCCTACGCTTCGCTCCCTCGCTCGCTCGTGCTACGCCGCCGCCGCTCACCGGCCCCATTTACATTTGCCCACTACTCTCGTAAAAGTAACTTTGTAACCCGTGCGGGCAGTATCCGAGCCAGGATTCCGTCCTCTATTCCGGGGAAATTACATGTCGGTCGGCACCGCAGGCTCGAAAGAAAATTTCCCTTATCAAGCGCCGCTTCCTTCTACCACCCCGACTGTCCTCCACCGCATACTGGATGTCCACTTACACCCAGCAATCAACCCCTTCCGCGCACAATGACGCGTACACGAGGAAAACACGAAACTCCGGACACGTTCGGACGGATTGTTAATTCGACGTCACACGTAGTTGAGTTCCTTAATGAGTGTGACGAAAGTGTTTGGAATAGACGTGAAAAATGAGCGTGGTCGTCGCGACAAACGTCACGGTGACGTGTTTCATTGTAATAAAGACGCTTCATTTTTCATGTGTATTCTTTTTCTCTGCTGTTATTTTTTTTAAATGTCCTCACAAAATATAAAAGATACTATTGAGGTAAGTTCTATCGCGCAGCGAAGAAATGTATTAAATAATTGTGCGGTCCTTTTTAACACGCTCTACTGTAATTATCTAATATAATAATAAACGATAGTGTTCAAGTATAATTAAAAATAGATACAAATCTATATGTTCGATACGTGATTTAGTAAATATTATCATATTAAGTCAATTAATATTATCATATTAAGTACAATTAATGTGATGAATACTTGCGATAAACACATAATAAATTAATGTAATTGCGAACAGATATAAATCAACGTACATGGGAATTACTAAAAATTATTACATCAAATTAAGTAAAAAATTACATCGAAACAAACATATATATATCGGATTTTTATATGCTTTAAATAGACGAAGAAGTCTAGCGTCACGCGCGCGAATAGGATGGAACTTTGCTGTGAAATCGTCCAGAACGTATCACAATAGTTATATAATCGCAATGTTTATTCGTACCTCTCGAATGTAACGTGCCAAGCACTCGAGGGAGTCGGAAATTTCTGGTATTTGGTGGAATTGTCGAGTCGTACATGTCGGCTCATCGATATTCTACGGCCGCTTAGAGTAGTTAAATCATTGCGCAACTACCGACATCGAAATGACATGGATTTTTAAAATCAATTTATATAGCACTTAATCGGGGTGTATTGTTAGTTAAAGAGCGTATACTAGATTCAATATTGGTGTGCACAATGAAATCGTTTATATCGAGCAACATTGCACGGATAACTTTTAATTTCCTTATCAAACACATGCAACTTTAGCTCGAGACGGCGCAAAGTTGCATTGCGGAAATAATAGCCAACCTTTAAACCCTTACAATCTCGAAACTTCTTCCTTCGAAATTAAAAAGGAAAAAAAAGAACGCGAGCGCATTCGTTACCCAATTCTTGGCGAACTTTCACGCTGCAACAGTGTTATTCATCGTAGGCTTTGAATCTTTCTATGTATACATAGTAGCCTCGTTAGAATCGATGTAAAGTTGCACGGACATTTTTGCTCTAATGTTAAGGACACGCTAGATGACGAATTCTAAAAGTGTCGATAACGTAGGGACGATTGTCACTGACACAATCACTCTATCCTTTCCATGCTTCTTGTACATATAGAAACCAAAATCTACACGGAAAAAAAAGATTTGGTTGAATTAACTAAATATCTAGTTGAATATGAACGATCCAGAAATTCCGATTGAAGTAATCCGAATTCTATTCAAGTTAATAAGATTTTTGGTAGACTAACCAAACATGTCTGGTTATTTAACATGACATTAGACATTAGATGTTTGGTTAAATAACCAGGCATGTTTAGTTAGTCTACCAAAAATCTTGTTAACTTGAATAGAATTCGGGTTACTTCAATCGGAATTTCTGGATCGTTCATATTCGACCAGATATTTGGTTAATTCAACCAAATCTTTTTTCTCCGTGTAGTTAAAATGGAATCAATCAAATGTTCGATAATTGCAATTAAATCGTTTGGTTGTAATTATCAAATATTTACTTGTATTTTTTGGCTGTAATTACCAAATATTTGGTTGATCCTATTTTAACTAAACTTTGGTTTCGTCAAATAAATCCTCTTTTCAGTGTGTGCTGCTTTATTTTATCGCATTTAGCGGAAAATCTAGCCATGCATATGTAGAAATTTTTCTGCACACTTTGTACATTTTTAAACCTATAAATTTAGTTATAAAAAAGTATAGTAATATTCATTGAAAATTTCCCGAGCAGAGCAAACACACGCTTCATATGTATAAGCTGCAAAACTTTTGTATCAAATATTACGCTAAATGATAGCTCGAAATATTAATTTTGAAAATTTTTATCATTTTTATCACATATATAAAGAGCAATGCACAGAGTAATTCATTTTTGCACATACTTTTATTACGTATAAAAGCCTTTGTAATTCTGTGCAACCAATACGACATAAAAAGGTCTGTGCAGAAAAAGGTCAGTATTCTGTCGGTAAAAATTTCGTCTCTCCTCTCTTCTCCGCAGCGCCCCTTAAGACTACTGAAAATCTATTAAAGATATCTCATCGATTTTAACACTGCCTCGACATTCATCACGTACGACAGCTGTAAAATTCGATCTTAAAATTGAAAGCATGATCCGTCCCTATGGAACTTTCTTTTTTTCTTCACGATGTACAACTACATTTCCGTTCGGGCGAAATACAATATTTATATCTTTGACACGAAGTGCCGCGTATACCGAAATATGTGTCGTACTTTGGCACGCTCGACACGTTCATTCCAAATACATCCATAAAACAAACCTCGATATTTTCCCGACGGCAGGTGACGATTGTTATTCCGTCCCAGGAGATCTCCTTTAATCGATGATTTATCTACAGATTTTCGCGAGGTCGAGCAGATAACCGTTTTAGCTTTTATGCTTTCCCCGCGTCTCGATATCTTACGACAGTTTCACGGCGCCGTTTCATCGGCCACCGTGGCTGGATCTCTCTTTCTCTTTAAGTCCGGCGGCTCAAGTATTTAACCCCGCGATAATAGTAACGACGTCAGTGCGATCGGCAATTCGATATATAGTAACGTTGAAGGTGCCGGGGCTATACCGAGATCATTGCGGTTCGATTGCTCGGCGAGTCCGGCGAGTAATACGCCGGTGCCGCAGGGATTACAGACACAGAGCTACGAATTTATGGAACCCGAAAGCATCCCCCGTGTTCTCGACGAACTAGACGCGCGAGCGGATACGTGCATGCATGCATGCACTCGTGTTGCACACCGGGTGTGCGTATAAATGTACGTCGCGGAGCCCTTTACGAGATACGTCGGCTGCAATTAGGTTGTTTTGGCTACATACACGTCAGTGGCCCGGAGGAAATGTCTCGGAGTGTTCATACTAAAAACACGCAGAAATTAAGGTATTCACGTTGGCGGGAAGAATGGACGTCGGGGCTCGAACTGTTACGACGTAACGACAGCGACGCGCTGCGCGAGGATGCTGACGAAAAAAAAAAAAATTATCCTGCAAAATTTTAACATAATACTCCAACGGATACGAGCTCGAGGACGGAACGACGAATAAAAGTCGTATATATTGCACACGCCGTAATAATGATATTGCACCGAGGCGTATATACGTGGCTGTGAGCGTGCGAAGAGATTATCTGACCTCTCACCTTATTCCGTGAGAACTGCATCTTTGCACCTCCGTAACCTCGACACGCGAATCGAATCTAAGAAAGCCCACCGACGGCTGAAACTCATGAAACTACGGGCCAAGTTTTAGTTGGATTAGTAACTTCCTGCGTGCTTATTGTTCTAACGAGTATCTGTAATATTTGCGAGAGCACGATCTTCACGGCTGTTCTGAGGATAAGGGGTAAATCACGTGCGTTTCCGCTCCATTTGGCTGATTCGGTTGCGATAAATGTTTAAACGAGCGAAGCGATACGACACAATCATTAACGCTAACGTTGATTCTGTCCCGCGATTGTATTGTGTGCCATGTGTGTAAGCCAAGCTGGGCATCAGCCATCGCACAGGGAGAAAGAGAGAAAGAAAATGAGAGAGTGTTATCACGTCTTATTACCGCGACGAGTCACAAAGAAAGCTAAAAGCTACCCTTTTCATAAAAGGACCCTCATACACGTCCGGTTTTATTGAAAAATGTTGAGGGCAGCTCCGGTAGAGTTATCGCAATTTAAGAAAGGGAACGAGTCAAAATGAACTCGAGCGGAACAACAGCGTAGAGAAAGCCGAGAGGAATCCGCTAGGAAGCATCTAGTGGGTCGACCGGTAGCAAGGGTAGTTGGTGAATCGCAGGATACCGGCTCTACGCGTCAGTACGCTGTCAGAGGACGCAAGCGCGCTCGCACCCCTTATCGAGTTCGAGAGCAAAAGCGACGGCTGCCGGTAGTGGTGGCGATGGGGGTGGCGGTGGTGATGGTGGTGGTGGTGGTGGTGGTGGTGGTGCTGATAGTAGTGGTAGTGGTGATGGTGGTGGTGGTGAGAGTGAGGGTGGTGGTGGTGGTGATGCTGTATATCTGTATAGACGGATATATACGGGGGAAGATACGGCGGAAGAGGGTGGAATGGTTGTAGGTGGCGGCACACAGAGCCGAGTTAGAAGATAGGGGGGATCGACGGTGAGGGAGAACGAGAGAGGGAACGAAGCCGACGGAAGGGTAGGAAGACGAAACGCGGGTAGGAGAGAGAAACGACGGAGGGTGGCGGGTGCAGCTACGAGTCGAGCGCCGCAGTGTTTGTCAGTCCTTCGTATGGACATCACGTTCGGCGAGACTGATAGTACCCACCGGTATTGGCATCCGTATATACGCGTATACGCTTTTGGCGGCATCCATCATCGTCGATAGCGAGCAACGTCGATCGCGCGTCAATTCCGCCGTAGATGAACTCGCGGTTGCACGCGTTTTCGCGATCTCCGATACCGTCGTCGCCGTCGTCGTCGTCGTCGTCGTCGCCGTCGTCGTCATCATCGTCGACGACGTTTCGTCACTCAGTCCAGCGGACGAGCGACGTAGCGAGATTTCTTCGAACGGCCGAGATGTGAAGACGTCGACTTGGAAGCGATGTGGCTTCCGTTGATGCTGCTCGCCTTGATGGCGAGCGGTTCCGCCTGTCCAGACCTTTGCGAGTGTCATCAGAATAATATCGAGAAGAACGCACCGGTACTATCGGACGTATCCTGTCGTGGACGCGCACCCGGTTTGTCGGAGATACCAGTGGGGGCGAGGAGTTTATCGTTGGACAGCGTCGATAGTTCTGAAATCACTGTCTTTTTCGACGAGCTCGAGGCTGTTGAGTTGGCGAACGATTTCGAGATGACTGGTACCCTGGTGGATCTCGAGACGAACGATACGTCGGTGGAGGGGACGCGCGCGACGGAGATTCTGCCGTATTTAAGCGAGTTCGCGGTGACAAATTGTTCGTTGGTGTCTTTGAACGCGTCGTGGCACGGTTTCGAGCGCTTGAGGGCACTGAATCTGTCGTGCAACAATTTGCTGCGACTGAGGGACGTGCTGGTGATACGAACGACGAATCTGAGCGAGCTGGCATGCCTTGATCTATCGAATAACTCGTTATCAGACATCAGTGTCGGGACATTTAGGACGCTCGTCGGACTTGTGAGATTGAGTTTACGTAAAAACGCGATCAGTATGGTGGACGAGGACGCGTTTCGCGGTCTGGACCGACTGGAATTCCTCGATCTGTCGGACAACAGGTTGGCGGACTTGCCGGATAGCGCGCTCACGCCGCTATATTTCCTGCAGAAACTCGACCTCAGTGGTAACCAGCTGCAAGTTCTGGGCGCCAGGTGGTTCGAAAGTCTCGACAGATTGAGAGAACTCGACGTCTCGCGAAACGGATTGGCTCGGGCGGCCTCGGGAACGCTGCAGCCGTTATCGGGGCTGTCCGTCCTGAGACTCGCGGAGAACCCGCTGAGAGAGAGAGACGTATCTTTACTGCTAGGCACCGGTAGACGACTCGAGACCGTGGACGCATCCCGCACCGGATTAGCCAGAGTTCCGGCCGCTCTCACGAGATCGGTCAGGGCTCTGAGGCTCGCCGGGAATAGATTGACTACTGTTCGTAGCGGTGATCTGGATAGCTATCCCTTGCTACGTATATTCGACATCGCCGACAACCATCTCGTGGATATCGAGAACGACGCTCTGGGACGGCTGGAGGTGTTAGACGAGCTCGATCTGTCCGGCAACGTTCTCACGAAGGTGCCCGGAAGTCTGCCGAGCAGCCTAACGGTACTGAAGCTTCAGCGAAATGCGATAACCGCGTTGAAGCTCGACGATCTCAACGGATTGTACAACCTGCGATCGTTGATACTGAACGATAACGACATCAGCGTCATCGAGGTGGGCGCGCTCGGTCAACTGCCCCTGCTCGTGGAGCTCGATCTATCCGATAATCCTATCAAAGCGTTACCGACTAATACCCTAAGTGGACCCAGTAATCTGGCCAAGCTCCGGATGTCGGGGCTGGCTTCGCTTCGACGACATCAAGAAGAGCAAAGTGATATGGCGTTCCCGGTACCGACGCCGGAGCGGCTGATAATGCTGGACGTGTCGCGAAGTCCGGCTCTGGCGGAGCTGTTATTGGCGGATGATGCCGCGCTGTCTGCCTGCAAGAGCCTTATAGAGCTTAACCTGTCGCAAACCAACATCAGCACCATCAGATCCGACCTCGCGTACATGCTGCCTCAGCTGCGCTTCCTCGGCTTGGGAAGAAACGACTGGGACTGCACGGAAGATCTCTACTGGTTGGGCGAGTGGGTGAGGCAACACCGCGAATCCAAGCAACGATCTCAACCGGCTCGATGTACCAGCCCGCGGAAATTGGCGGGGTTACTTTTGTACGAACTGCCGCCGCCGCCGAACTCCGTCCTCCCAACCACCGCGGACAGTGACACGACGGGCACCACGGTTACCCTATCTGCCGTCTTCACGCTCGAACATGCGTCGCATACTGATCTGCCAAACGTCACGGTGTCTTCCAATATCTACAGCGCGAATTCCGATCACAACGTCACGGATCTTCCCACGCTGTCGTCCGTAAATACGGAAGCCGCACCGAAAGCGGAGGCTGCAGCTGACTTAGACACTCTCCTCGCAGAAGCCGCCCCGGTGGAAAAACCGCGAGTCTACGAGGCACCGACGTCCTTCCGTAACGTCACGTCGTCGATCACGACGCGGACGAGCCGGGAACCGGGTCGGAAGAGCGATAAAACAAATCGCGTCCTGATGGATCAGAATTTAATCAAGCGGCCCGTCAAACCGGTCTCACGAAGGCGGAGCGACCTCGAACTATCCGTTTTGGAAGTGAAGGACGAGACGTATTCGCAAACTTTTGATAACCGGGCTGATCGCGGGCCGCAAAGAAACGGAAAGATGAGCAAACTCGCCGCGTTACCCGACGAAATCATTTCTCCGGAGTCCTCGTCGCAGCTCGGACCTAAGCGCACGGACGAGGATGCGAAAGCGGTCGAGAATCATCCGGGAAGAATAAGCAACGCGACCAAGGAGAACGCGGTGTTGGATGACCGTGGCTCTAACACAATAGCGGAAGAACTGAATGGTCGGGCAACCGATTCCGGTGCTCGAGTGTCCGACGCTCTGTCCGCAGGTGCTCATCCTGGAATGTTAGTATTAGTCGGCGCTGCCCTGGGCGCCGTCGCGGCGCTCTCCGTCGTTCTCTCGCGTAGGGCGACGGTCCACCGAACGGACAGGTATCATCGCCACGAGAACATTGAAGTGCACACTCTGACACCCACCACGGAACTTTGGTGACCAGAGTCGGAATATGTTCGTCTGTTCGAGAGGGACAAGCGACTGGAAACCACCGGTAACCGCGACGGCGAAGCGTCGATAACACCTCGTCGACAATCGACGAGGTCACGGCTGATTGATGTGTGTTTGAGGAAGATCCTGAAATAATCGTATCGGTGTGATCTCGACGGGCGTGTGCATCTTGTTATTGTGATGATGACGGAATCGAAGTGGATTCGCCGGCCGCGACGATCGAGGTGTTAATCGGAAAGTTGGAAGGACCCTGATTTGCGGGGGAACCACGGAATAGGGGCTGAACGTCCAAGTTGGGAACGAGATACTCCCCGAGCTAATTCACGTCACTTCAGGTACCGCCAATACGTTACGGATTACGGAGCAATACCCGTAAAAATAACAGATTATTCGAGCGTGACTGGAAGCTACGGGATCCGCGAAAAATAAAAAGGCGGCAGTTTCTAGTGTCAAGAGAGTATCGAGACCGTCGGAGATGTCTGCAGTGCACAATTAGAAAGACAGACATTCGTCACGAGTGTCTGTCGCGAATATAAAGTAATGTGTTACTTGTAAAGTTCTACTCTCTCCGCAATCTCGCGTGTCCGGCTTATCAAGTCTCTTGAAAACGGGGCGTGTGGCGGTAAAGGTAAAACCACCCAAGTATCATCGATCGACAATACGTGTATTCCGTGAAACTTATTCGACGATAACACCGTTTAAATTTTACCGACGACAGCGAAGATGTCGAGCGCTGCAGTCAAGACGTTGGGAGCAGAAGCGAGGATCTCACCGCGCCATTTCATACAAATTCCGACGTATATAAACACATCGGGAACTGTGACGCGCGACGTCCGCGGGGAAATACCGAACGTGTACTACAAGCTAGGGACTCGGAGAAAAATTATGAGGGAAAATTTTGGCACGGTTTCGGCGTGTCGAACGTTACGCTACGGAATATCGATGTGCTGCGGGGAAACCTCAATCTTCTTCATGCTAAACGCCACTCGTAGGATGAGACGCGCGGATAAGAACGATCAAATGTCATCGCAGACGTGTCATGATCGAATGATTACGGTCGAGCGGCTTACCGATTTAGCTAATTGGCTGGGGTTGGACCGATAAATTGAACACAGTGACAATAATAATGGTTACACGCCGCGTCTCAAGAGCTCGGCTCTTCGCGGTACGCTCAATTCCTGAGAAGACTATATTGTGACTGAAATGAAGTGCGAGTGTAATAAAAGTAGGGAGAGTGCATAATGGTAGTGAGAAAGATAGAAGAAACAGGTAGGCCAGCGCCAAAATAACGCGGAATGTAGGGGGCGAGAAATTTACGATGGCAAATAGTATGCTTGAAAGGCAAAATCGGACGGGAAGCGAGAGCGACTGTTAGACGGAAAATAACTTTTATCGAACGGCGTATGCGTGTGCGAGAGAGGAAAAAAGAGAGAGAGTCGAGTGTAATAGAAAGAGAGCGAGATAGAATGCGAGAGAGAGTGTGTGTGTGTGTGAGAGAGAGAAAATATTCGAGAACCGTTCTTGAATTCAGTAAAATGGGATGTACAGAAACGTTGCTTCCGTACTTAATTCCACTAAGCTTGGTGAGCTATCAAGACTTCTTAACAAATTCAAAAACGAAAGAAAGAATATGAGAGAAAGAGAAAGAGAGAAAGAAAGAGAGAAAGGAAGAGAGAAAGAAAAAGAGCGCGCGCGCGAGCGAGAACGCAGATAGACAAATAGCGAAGAGGCTAAATATTATCTTTCTTAAAATAACCAGTGTCAAAATACCGCTATAATAATAAACCGATGTACAAAGATGTATGTTTATCGATTTTTCTTCTCATTGCCTTCGTCGAAATATTGTTTCCTATATTCTTTACACATGAAACAGATATCCTGTGCATGCTGCAATATCGTGCTGCAGAATGAACATTGAGTGGATATATCCATATGTAAATACTCTGAAAATAAACTACATCAGTAGCAACTACTACAGCAAGGTAAACATTTTAACTTATAAAATTGATAATATGTATGTACATTGCAGAAACATATGTGCTTGAAATAGGATAAATCTTGAACAACAATCTTGATTATGTATCATAACAGGATAAGTCTATCAATTCGTGCTTTTACGTTGTTTTTATTACGAATTACACGATATTTTCGAGTCGAGTTAAAATTTCGTTTTATCAGAGATAATTTTGAAAAAAATCAATAACTGAAAATTAACGTCACAATAAATGTGCAGGTAAGTAAATTATTGCTAATTATCTTGTATATATATTTGTGTACATATGTAATATATCTCAAGAAAAAGAAAAACACATTACATCTCTTCTCATCTAAAATTTAATAGTTAAAAGTCTCATATTCTTTTAATTGCTTGTCATGTAAAAGTAATTAACACAAAGACCAGCCTCTACTTAATTTCCTTCTTAGTACCTATATAATCAAAGGAAAGACAGAAAAGTTTTTTTGTAAGATAAATTATAAGATAGATCAGACCTGTATTTTAGTGATGAGAACAATGTCAGAAATATTACTATCGTGCCTGACATGCTTTTTTTTACACCATTTAGCTGACAAAATTATAAAGATAACATTATACGTTGCAAACTGTTTATTCAATATTAAAATAACAAATGGAAGCAAACTAATAGAGAAGCAAAATCTAATAACGATGAAGACAATTATTTTAACTATTGAAAACTAACTGTGATAAATGTAAGCACGATTTATCTGCGGGTCTTCTTCTTACCTCGTAGAAAATAAACCTTAATTATTAGTATTATTATTAGATCCTAAGTAATATCTCGTATGAAAAATTTAAATTTTTTCCTCTGAAAAAGTAAATGGACTTGTAAGAGACATTGATTTTGATTTTAATCAGACCCACATCAACATCCCCACAATGTGCATAATGTACCTCAATTAAGATGTGAGCGACATTGAGTACATAAGATAAACATATATTGCATTTATTAAAAAAACAAGCTTAAAATCTCAAAACCTTTCCTTGCTGCAGCTGATTTTTCCATAAAAATTGTATATATACCAGGGCATCAAAATTGTCAATTAATTGGATTTAGATGACTTAATAATTTTAATGATCGACAATTCATTGAAATACGAGATGAGCATGCATAAACGATAGTTACATCGAAATATTAATAAACATCACTGTAAAGTAATTCAAAAGCATTAAAATATATGCGCTGCAAAATCGCAAAACTTCGTATTGACGCGAATGTAATTTCACGGGTAATCCGTAACGCTGCCGCTTTGACGGCCTGCGAGAAAATTTCTGAATAACGATAACAAGTCGGGGGCGGCAATGAAGAAAAACAATACCTACAAAGTACATTGGATAGTAACGATTCTGGAAGACTGACGCAACCTTGTGAGGCTCAGTTCAAATTTCCTATAAAATAATCCATCGTAAAGTACAACTAGGAAATTTAATCACAGTACAGCGGCTCTTCCCGCGCCTCAGCCCAGGGCTACGGAACTGGCAAATTCAGTAACATCTTGCAGAAGTTCGTTATCCCTACTCAGCTGTGCCACAAGCGCGTTGGTTTACCCAGACGCCCGTACTATTTCGTAATATTGACTTCATCGATGAAAAACAGAATCCAGTTTGGAACTCATCTGCATACCGATCCCAGCGCAATTACTCTCTTCACGCCGGGATATTGTATGGTGCGCGTTATTGCACCCAACAGCATGGCCACCACCGCTGGTCGTTCGTTCGACCAGGAAAATCATCAAAAATGAAAGCCAACATTGAAAGAGAGGAATTTTTAATATATCCCGCACGAATGGCGCTAATAATACCATATGGAGAGAAAGAGAGAGAGAAAAAGGGGGAGAGAAACAGAATTGCAATCTCTTGAAAAGCATTTTTACCTCAAATTTAAACGTGCACGAGCGGAACAGATATAAAATAAGACACTGATACGAAATATATACTAATACGAAAAGGACAAGATACAATTGATGAAAAATATAAGATAGCATGATACGATTTTGCGTTTGATATAAGTGAGAAACTGAGTTGAATTCGTGTTCCCACGGCATACGTCACATTTTTTAATCTTAAACATAGTCGAAATTCCAATTACATGCATACTGCGCCAATTCGTATTTCGCGAGCAATAAAAAGCATATTGCAATTTCGAACTCAATTGCACTACGATCCCAACCACGATCACTCATTTCCCGACGGGAGATTGCAAACTACGTGTTACGTTGCAATATATAACAATCATTACAATACGGAAGCGCGCTTAAAAAACGATAGTATCGTTCATAATCCGCAAGACCGATCGCGCAAATACGAAAGACACATGAGACAAAATCAAACGAAAATAGGAAAAAGGAAGAGAGCGAGAGCGCATTTCAATTTTTCAGATGTTGTTAGCGCGTATTTTCCGCGTCTTATTCAAGACTACTTATGCAAGACTACTGTTGAAAATCGCGACATTCGTGGGATAATCTGCACGCAGTTTTGCTGAACGCGCAGCTCTTCGCGCGAAAATATGGAATATTTACCGCGGTAACGAGGCCTGTCTAAATCCCTTAATAACGGCAGCAAATTGTCTTTGTGCGTTAATTATCATCGTCGAGTGGGTTATCTCCTATGCCGCGTATCAAATGACTCGTATATGAATATGGCGAAACGCACTTTACGCAAGTGCCCTTGATTAAATGTACATAGTTGTGTACGCTGTGATAACGTGGTACCATGTCACGCAGGCGGGAGATATTTTGTTACGTAAATTGGCTCGCGTAGTGTCTGTTGATCTATTGTGAAACGATTTCGCGAACCGTGAATTCAATCGACTCGCTTACTTGCCGTTCCACCTTATCTACGTTATCGCGACAATTTACTATACGTAAATTCAACGGACCTCTGAAAACACATTTTCAAAATTTGTACGCGCGATTTCGCCGCGCGTGTACGTCTCGCTACCGCCCGCATATCCGCGCAGTTATCTCAGTTAGGCAATGGGTACTTTTTATCAATTAAGGAAAAGTTCGTTTCGCTGGCATGTCGCGCGCACGTGTGATATAACTAACTGTAACGAACTTCCACTAAGTAATTTTTATTAACGCGGGGAACCTGGCGAAAAAGTATTCGCTGGTTGTTCCATAAATCGTGATCTTGGTTTTAACAAACGGTCGAAATTGTAAATATCGCGCACACGTAACGTGGAAGTGAAAAGATCAAATATTAGACCGGAGGAAGACCTTAAACATCTTTAGTCGAAACATTGTGTTTCCTTCACATCCGTACTCGTAATAGAACAAAGTTTTGCACGCCTGGTGTCTCTTTTCAATATCGTTACGAACAGTCTTTGGGCAATAAATAGGAGTTTCCTAAGTTCCTCCGATACGTACGATGGAAGTCGCGGAACGTCCTACATATAAATACAACAAAAAATACTTGACTCGTACCAATCATCCATTATTAGAGATAGAGTTGGCTGAACTAATCTCTACGGCCGGCCCAGCAGCACGGATGTTTGCTGTTTGAACTGGATAGCAAGCGAAACGTAACTCTCTGAACGCGGTAGCATTGATCGAACCGCGTCCTCTATGACACTTTCTGTACAAAGGAGAGAGAACCGACGCCAAGGTAAACTAGGTCTTCATGGTACGAGAAGCAGAGATCCTCTTCATCGCGTCTCCGATCGCCGCAAACCGCCCTCTTCCTCGTTGCGCTCTTTCCGATCGCGCGCTC